TGCAGCGAGTGTCGAGTAAGTCGGTTCGACGGTCACAGGGCAATTTGAGATTTGATTGCTCATAATACCTGCCCGCGATGTCCGCTGCAGCAATAATTAAAAATCTCTATCTTAACTGGAATAGAAGACGAGTTGCGTTATATCAGCCTAGCTTCGTGAACAATAACGTGACTAACAAGCACGCGCCATTTCACACATTGCTACGTACACACATATCATCTGCACCTACAATCGCTTTCCTCTTAATAGTATGCGGGTCGTGAGCACCGTAGGGCTAGACCAACACAGCCATCGACACTTCGGCCTGTCTCTCTTCTTAGGGTTCAATGAACGCAGTGTCATATCCACTCTATGGTGCACTCAAGGGCCTAACACCTGTTGCGTCGTATACTACGTCCGGTAGGCCTGGTCTAATGACTGTGTAGTTCCTTTCGGACAGTCATAGACGATGTTGCAATTCTTGCGGACATTCTTCACAGATAAGATGTTCGTGATTCCTCTTTCATCGAACCATACTCTCTGTTTGTGGCCAGCTAACTTGGCTGTGTGCTGGACCTTCAGCTTGCCTCCGGTACTCTTCACTGTAATTGGACGATCGGCTTTCCTGATGTCGGTAACCATGTCTTTATTACAGAATAAATCCAACGTGGTCCGTCCGCGAACAGCGGTACGTCGAACGTAAAGAAACGTTTCTCGACTTTCTCGTCATCTGACTGCGTGATGTCAGAGTCGGCATCATCCTGTTCTTCCTCCAGGGTTGTCAATGCTGTCGTCATTTTATCTTGCAGTTTGCTGATAGTAGCTAGGGTTCTCTTTGACGCTACTAGAGCTTTTCTTGCTCGACGTGCTTGACTTGCTACGCTTGCTTGACCTAGACTTGTCATCGTCGTCTTGTCTTTATCTTTGTTTTATCTTTGTCTTTATCTTTGTCAGGACAGGTGCGATGCTGGATGTCCTTTATCGTGGCAGGAAAAGCATTCTTTCTCTTTCCAGTATTCTTTATCATAGCTCGCGTTCCGCGGCCTTTTCCTCTGCCACCACCCCGTCCTCTCCCGCCTTGTGCTGTCTGAGCAAAGGAGCTTCCGTGGGAAGTGGACTGTCGTGGGATGTTACTCTTGGTGTGTTTGTCCAAAAGGTGTAATACCTCATGTAACGTGTGGGGATAGTTATCAGTGCCTTTGGCAAAGTCGTCCCTCAGGTTCTGTTTAAGCTTGGTATTTTCGGCTGAACTATTTGTTAAGAAGATGTAACTATAGTACCGTTCCTCTGCGTATGCCGAGACTGACCTCTGGTCTTCGACTGCCAGGTCAGCGTATTCGTGCCTGGGTGGAGTAGGTTGGCCGTATGCAGCAGCGCTGGTCGTGTATCTTGGAAATACCCACGGATTTTGCAATGTCCTTTTTCGTTGTAAATTGCTCGTGGTATTCGGAACGGTAAGGCTCCCTTGGTGGAATTCAACAGTTGTTTTTCCAGTTGGAATAATGTGTGGTACACAAATTATCATCGGTCTGGGCATGATCGTCTTATGGATCAGTTTTCGTAGCTCCAGGGGTCGCATCTTAACAGGACGTCATCGTAGTCCTTGTTCTGCTTCATCTTGTCCTTTAATAGTCGGGTGCACTGCCCTAGGATCAAGTTGAAAGCTTTGCCTCTATTTTCTTGTAGTTTTGCCACCTCGTAAGGTGGGTCTTCATCAGCCCTCCATACTCTGCTTTCTCAGTCCCCCGAGTTCCTCCCCGGTGGTCCTATGGCTGCCGTAAGTTCGGCTATTTCATTAACGGTTTTGCTTTTTCTATCGTTAGTGTGCGTAGGCTACCGAGAGTCGGGTCATTGGTGACTGCGGTTATCTTCTGATTCTAGTAGCCGTAGGCTGGCTTGGGTTGCCAATAGAAGACGATTATTGTTCGCTTCATGTCGTACCTTCGCCGTTGCAAGCCTGTTCCGGGTCTCCTCTGAGTACACCGGTGCTACCAACACTGTCTTTTCAGGTTGCGTAGCTCATTGCTCATGTCGTCACCCATCGTTTGTCCAACGTGGATGACGATCTTCTCCCATGTGCGTATCATCACCAGATCCAGTTGTACCGAAGTTAAACACATGTTGGTCGGGGGCTTTGCATGAACCTTCCTGCTGGTTCGACGATGGCTGGTTCTTCCATGCCCTCGTGCTTTGCCGCCTCCTCGGCCACCCGTCCTTTACCTCTACCGCTCATTTCTATGCTACGGTAGGTGGATATTTCATTCTTTCTTTTTTATTTGCTGCTCTTTATTTTAAGTTCTCGTCCGACTACTTATTCGTCTTATGGCTATGGGGCGATAAACTCAAATTATATTCCTGGCTAGGGAGTGTTAAAACTATTGCTAAGGATCTTGCAAGGTCTGGCGCTATTGCTTCACACTTCGTGTGGTATGCTGCCGTTCCGAACCCGTTTCTTGTGGTTGTTCCTTGTTGGTGCCTCCTTGGCCTCTGCGCTGGCACTATGGCTTTCGGCTTGTTGTTGGCTCTGACAGTTCCGGCTGGATGCTGTCGGCTCTCCTATCGACAATCCTTGTGGATTCTGCCGATGAAACTCTTGCTGCGTCGTTGACTGCAGTCTCCTCTTCGGCACGACCGTCGCGTCGCTGCCGATCTCGTCTTTCGATCCGTCCTCGGATCCTTCACTCGTTGCTGTCGTTCGTTCGACAGGCTTCTCTTGTTGCTGTCGTTCCTTGACAGTCTCCTCGCTGTTGCTGTCGATGCTTCGACAGTCTTGGTCTTGTGCACGACGATCCTCACTGCGTCGTCGTCGTCGGTCTTGTATCGGTCTTCCTCTCGCGTCGTCGCGATCCGTCCTCGGATCCTTGCGTCGTCGCGTTCTTCCTGCCGATTGGCTTGGATGCTTCGGTAGGCTCCTCTTCTCTTCGATACAACGACCACTGCTATTCGATAGCAGTACTTTTTCAATAGTATGTTAGTTGCTCTAAGCTCTCTTCTAGTAGTTACTGTTGCTATTGAGATACTATTGAAAAAGTGGGTGGGCTCTGTTTCCATGCTATTTCTACTGGCATGAAATTCTAGTACAGAGGTACAGGTTCAATCCCTAATCGCGAATCCCCAACAAAAACGTGGTATGGATCCTTGGGTAGTAGCGAACTGCCTCTGTTGGTCCTTTTGTTGCCTCTGCAAAGCTTGCAGATGGTCTTGGTATGCTTGGATGGGTACACTGTGCGAGTATTACAGTGTGAAACAGGCAAACGGTGGAGATTCAGCTCTCCGGATACTTGTTCGTTCTGCCGGGTTTTTTGTCCTTCACTTCACAATAGCGGTGGATCACTCGGGTCAACCTATCTTGCTCAATATCGGGAGTTAGAAGCGAGCACTGATACTCAGAGTATCCTTGCCGTGCTGCGCAACTTTCTCTCTATTGGGCTCTTGTCTTGCAGAGCTCTGTTCGGGTGATAGCTTGATCGGTAGATGTTGCCTGTCGCTCGCCGTGATGTGACGGATCGAAATCTCGCGCAATGACACGATGACGCAATCCACTGTAACTCACTGGATAAGAGGACTTCCGTGATGGTGACAGTAGCGAGTCCGTGTGAAATCTTCTTCTTGATCTGCCGATACTCTCTGATCAACGTAGCTCCGGGCGGAAGCGGTTAGATCGATCGGCAATGGGATTTTCAATCGTGTGACACACGCACGTATATGGCAATTCTCCTGTTAGAGGTGTTTGCCTATACCGAGAGTGTGGCTATAGGGCTGAATTGTGCACCTCTCCTCTGTTGCAATAGTTACTCAGTGCTTTGACTTGATAGTCTTTGATCAACTTGGTATCAATCTCGAGGTGTTGATCTCTTCGGACTCGAGATGAGACTTTTGCATTTCAGTGTTGTTTGGTAGTAATACTGCAGCTTATTGGGGAGTAATTTGGTTTTAGATTAAGCTGAAGAGCAAAAGTGAGGATTTTCTGGTGGTGCATAGCAATTCTTGTGATTGAATTGGATATAAGGACCCCCGGAACACTTTAGACCTAAAACTCCCTTGGTTCCTTGCATCATGAATATGCATGCGAACCGGACTAGATGATTAATACACGAGTCAATAGTAAAGAGGTGTCAGGTATATTTCCTCCAACAACCGGTTCGTTGCACGACTGATTAAGCAGGAAAAGAAAGGGATCGACAATGGTGATGTGCCATTCCTATTCCACTATCGGCCGGCCAAACGAAGTTGATTAACAAAAAACTGGCTGGTGTATCATTTCAAGCAGCCTCAGGTTGGTAGGTGAAGCACTTGGTTTCACTCCTACCGCTCCGATATTGGTTGAATCGCGTTGATCGGCAGATTTTAGTCTCGATTTTCCTTCCGTTGGACTTTCTCTGTTCTTGAACTCCACTCTTTCAACAACAAAAAATAACGAAGTTTTATTTTAAAGGCTACACCTCGTCAGACGATCCGCTGAACGGTGCCGTGACGAACCCATATACCTCAGGCGCACAAGGGCGCCCACTTAGGATGGGCCTAGTGTAAGCCCCCCACCGGAGAAATTGAACAAAACTCCAGAGGGTGCTGTACGACTAACTCAACTCAACACAACGCTTCCTCGACAGCAATCCAATGACAGGATGGCTGCTTTTGGAGAGGCAATCCTTCACATGGATCCCTTCTGGAGAGGCTTTGTTGATACCTATCATACCCAAGGTATACATACTGTATGTCATGCATACTCTTGGTACCTAGGCTCGCCTCAACAATACATACAGTGCTGGATGATAGCATTGCTGGCTGTACTCTTTAACTGTACACGGGTTTCAGCAATGATGTCACAAAGCTAAGTCTGCACAGCTATGGAGCACCCAGTGGCACATTCATGGATCCCCTTTTGGATCTTGTCGTCATAGGAGATGGGTCGTATCTTCGTCCTGACCGCATCGGGGGCATTCTGCATGTGATTGGAAGTTCCACTGGCACATTGTCTTACGAACACCACCATTTTCAGATTCATGTTTTGTGGACCAGCACTACATTCCAGCTGGAAGAGCCTTCATCAAGCGTCCATTCGACATCTTCCAATGGATGTGTTGAGTGGCTTCAGGGGGAAACCGCGCAGGAGAGTTGTGACGTGCTGTGGTCCAGTATTTGAGAATGACTGGAGTGGAGATGGCTTCAAGGAGGGCATGCTTGTTGGGAGATGACAATTTGAGTGGGCCCTGCCACGGGGACCAACCTTCATTTTCGAAGCAGAGGTGTGTGGGGGGGGGTCCAGTAGGGTTGTGATGGGCAATAGTTTTCCTGTAGGTTTTTGAGAGAGTGTCCATACGGACGTTGAGTTGTTCCATGAAGGTGAGTGCATGTCCACTAATTCCATCCATGTGTCCGTCAATGTGTTCAACAGTGAATGTGATGTTACTTGACGGGAGGAGAGCCCAGAGGGCACGAACCATATCAAAGGATTCCATGTTAGGAACAAACCAGGGGTTGAAAACCCCCAGAGATGATTCATTGTCAGCCACGCCCAATGTGAACAGATCCAGAGTGAATGTCATGCAATGCCCTTCTAGTACTTAGCTGGCGCTAGAGAGCATTAAAAAAAATATTAATAGGGGTCTAGAGAATAAATAAATGAGTAACTGGTCCATCTAGATTAACATCTACATGTATGTGTGTATCACTCCAACTTACCACAATCCGCAACCCACCAAAATTAAAAAGCACAACCATCATTTTGAAGCCTGAAGGGAGAAGCAATGCAGAGAACATCAAGACCAAGCAGCATCCAATTTTGTGCTAGGACCATGATTGCAGCACACAGTCAAATGAAGGTTATTCTGGCTTTTGTTGTGATTGTACATGTAGCTCTCTCAATAAGGAGTACTAACGATGTGAACCTCCAGAGGATGGAGGATAATCAAGCGACCAAAGCTCCCTTAATGAGGAGTGCTGATTATGCAAATCTCAACATGATGGTAGAGAATGAAGCAAACACAGCTGTAGAGGAAACAGACAGTAACCAAGGAAGATCCCTCAGTGCTTCCTCTACTGCTGAGGAGTTATCAACGGAATCAACGACAGCATCTGACCAGCGTTCTAACAAGACCACGATGTCATTGGTGGTTGGGTTTTGGGCAGCAGAAGAGAATGCAAACCATCACCCTCACCGAGCCGAGATTGAATCTGCCATGCTGGCCAACTTGGACAACCCCGTATTTGATCAAATGGTGGTAATCCTGGATTCAGTAACACAAACATCCAGCTGTGCACACTTCCTTCAGCGCATGAAAATGCTGCGTGAGCAGTCCACTGTGACGACATCTCGGTCCGTTGAACTGACCTGTATTTCTGTGGAGGGCTCACAACCAAATTATTTTGAAATGTTCAACTACACATTGCATCCTGCGGTCACAGGTGAAATCATCGTTATGAGCAATGCAGATCAAGCCTTTGATGAGACAATCAACTTGGCCAAGCAAATGAAGGACAACCAAGTCTTGGTTACCTCTACTCATGGATACTTCAGCCCAATTGGAGGAACAATGGTTGTACCTGACAAACTTCAAATGCACTACAATCACCATGTTCCTCCTTTAGGTGAGGTTGGTTCCAATATGACATGGGGAAGGTGCTATGTGAACCGTTTCTTAAAGGAAGAGTTTGAGAAAGACGGCAATTACAGTGATTCATGGGATACATTCATCTATAGAAAGGAAATGATCCGCGCTACACTGGCACCCCACCATTTCTTGCGAACTTCTGTGCAGGACCAAAATATTCCTTTCATGATGAATGAAAATGGTGCTGAACATAGTGCACTCGCAAGTTTGGTTCTCAACATTGAACCCAGACCGATATTGTGGAATGTGTGCAAGCAAATCCATAGTTGGCACTTCCATTTGGCTCCCAAAACACATCGAACATCCGAACGAATTTGGCCGTTTTTTGAAGATACTCTGATTTTCAATGGAGATGCTGGCCAGAAGGACCTTATGACTGGTCAACCATACGAGTATGTTCCGAAACCGTGGAAGAATGCCAAGATGTGTACAGACCCCTACTGTCGAGCAAATATATTTGACGGAACAGCAGGATTGGAAGAGGCTGAGGCAAACTTCGATCCTGAATGTCCTTCTGAGAGTTTAAGGAAGGTATTGAACAAACGCGAATTTGAATCAATTTTTTGTTAGTAGAAAAGTAGAAAGGTGGGCTTTGCACTGGAAAAAGTCCAATAAGAGTGGGACAACATCAGCGCACATATCTCAAAGTAACTCTTAGGGGATGGGCAAAATTTGCAATAGCCCTGTATTGTATTGGAGTGTGACTCGCCAAAATCAGTTAAAAAGACAAAATTCGTATTTTTGCCGGAAGATAAATTTAATTGGATTGCATTGGATTGGATTGCATTGAATTGGATTGAATTGGATTCCAAATAGTACTGTTATTTATATAGTAAACTGTAATTCAATGCAGTAAACTGTAATTCAATGCAATCCAATCTAATCCAATGCAATCCAATCCAATCAAATCCAATAGAGAAAAACAGCCAAAGTAAAAGATTGGCTTAGCGCACACCATTTTTTACAAAAACGCTCTAACAAATTCAACACAGGGCCATGGGCAAGTTTGCTCATCCCCTTATAAGAATGGTCCGTATTGGCTTTGACAACTCTAACATAAGAGATGTGCTTGTATCCTTTAGAAGAAAAGAGGCTGATTTTGGTCCCAGGACAATATGGGACCAAAATCAGCCTCTTTTCTGCTTTGTTTAACACGGGTTAATGCCGTACATCCATTTAGTACCATTTGCAACCAATGGTTGAAGGTGGGTTGGAGTGTTGGCGGTGTACACATGTAGAGAAGCTATATATCCTGGCATGGGACCTAAAGACTTAAGGGTCCTGTCAAATCAACACACCCTCACACTATTATTATATTGTGAGTTGAGTCGATCCAACTTGTTCTGTTGTTGGCAAGTTGGTTGCTTGCACGTTGTGGCATAGATCGGTTTCTTGGACATACCATTTTGTCATCTTGTCTGGATATCCCATAAGCTGTAAATAACACATATGCATTAACACCATTACAAACATGTGTTTTGGCGATTCGGCAGTTTGTGCTGATCAAGAGTAAAACTACTTAATTCAGTCACTTTTTCCTAAAATCGTATGACACAAGCACTCTGAGAAAATCTACGTTCGTACTAGCAGCAAGAAGCAACTTCGTGTTGGTAGCTCCGTAGCGATTTTTGCTTCAGCCGACACCATGGCCATCCTCTCTCTATCCAGAGATGTTCGCCTATTGTTGTCGTCTACTTCAAACAATGATTCTCAGACGGGCACTACTGATACTACTAAAGCGAACAGTCACTATGATCTCTCCCTCAAGGATGAGGTACAAAGCTTAGTAGGTGAAATAAGTGAGAAATATGTCCCACAACCAAGCACCGACGATGTAATTCTCGATGCCATTGATGGCCTTCGAAGATACAAAGATTCCGTGAGGTGGAAACACTATCACAGGGAACAACAACAGGAGAAAGCAAAGAAGATCAGAATACTGACCGAAGAGAACAAAGAAGAAGAAAAGGAAATCTACAACGAACAACCGGATGACAACAATGAAGGACTCAAGACAGGTCTTAGACCACAGAAGATCAACATGACGGCCCCAACAGCCTCAGACGAAGTAGAAGTCTTCCTCAAACAACTGGAGAAGAGAGTACTACAAATGGCCACCGATTACAAAGGACACCAAACCAATCCTAAATCCAGAGCCATCAAGAAACTACAGCGTAGAAAAACTAGGAGTCAACACTAGCAACTCAACAATAGTATCGATCGATGCTGCAGCCTACTACCCTTCAGTTCGATTCAAACTAGTTCGCAAAGCAGTCAAATACTTTGCCAGGAACCTTGACGCAGAATGTCAAAGACGACTAGATGACTGCCTAGATATGATCAAATTTGGGATGAACTCTACACTACTGACATTCAAAGACAAATACTATGAATATGATGGCGACATGGATCCAGAAGAGAAAGGACTAACCATTGGTGGATATGAATCCACATGGCTGTCTGATCTAGTAGGAGCCTACATCCTAGAAAATACCAAAGATCATTTTGAAGAAACATCTTACTATGGACTCTACAGAGACGATGGTTTTGCGATCTTCAAAGGAACTTGGACATATGAAATGATAGTAGAATGGAGAACCAATTTTCAGGCTAAAGTCAACAGCCTAGCCGAAGGAGACTACCTAGTATTCACCTGTAAGCATATGGCTAGACCAAACCAAAAGACAACTTCCAAAAGATCAATCCGACCCCAAAGTAACTGTAGAAAGTGGAAAAGCATTCTCGTATCTAGATATGGAACTGTTCTGGTCGGACCAGGAAGAACTTCACTTCCGAGTCCACCTTAAACCGAACCAACAACTGAAATATCTAAACAGGGGAACTACCCACACAAACGCATGCCTCAAAAACATCCCACTAGGGGTGTTCCAAAGACTCGCCAAACTCACTACAGTTACCAACAAGAATGCCAACCAAACCCTCGATGAAATCTACCCACTACACATCGAGGCGCTGAAGAAAGCTGGACTGGTTCCAGACGAGATACCAACACTACAAGAAGAAATACAACGATACTCACAGCGGAAAGAGGACAAAACAAACGAACCAGATAGAGATGCCAAGCAACGAAAGAGGAACCGGAACCGATCATTATTCTTCTGTATAGGACACTCCAACGCCTGGACGACCCCAATACACAAGGTAATCAACGACCTCAAGAAGAGCCATGGCCTCGAATGGATTAGAACGTCTATGTCCTACCATCGATTCACCAACCTGCGAGAGATGTTCATGGGCGACCTATCGAGGAAGCTCACCAAAGACGTCATCTCCACCGAGTTCCAAAATGAAACTTGCAATTGCAAGCCAGGAAACAAGAAAGACGGCCAATGCCGTTTTGACGACCGCTGCAGAAATAAACTGATCATATACTGCATTGACAAAGGTCCTCCGGACCAGATAGGTAGTCTGCCTAAAACTAGTACTTTTTATATATATACTGCATCAAATGCATTAACTCGGGCAAAGAATACGTTGGGGCAACCCAACAAAACGTCAAAGAACGAACATACCAACACTTCACCGACGTCATGCGTCTCCTCTACGGAAAACGCAAGTCAGACTCATACGCAAGACACTTCGCCAACGAATTCCAAAACTTTGCATCTCCTTCACCATTCTGACTCAACGGCGACATTCAAAGGAACAGCATCGAAATTAGCATCCTATGGCAAGGCAACCCCATCAGCACTGTCAAGACCTTCGGGACACGACACTGCAGCCTATGCAACAGGGAGCGACTCGAGATACTGAAACGATCCAGAGTGTTGGAGGAAACATACCTGACACCTCTTTACTATTGACTCGTGTATTAAACATCTAGTCCGGTTCGCATTGCACTCGAAACAGTTGTACGGTGGAGTTTTGCTTCTCCGAATACTTATTCAATCTGCCGGGATTTTTGTCCTTCACTTCACAATAGGGTGGATCACTCGGATCAACCTATCTCACTCAATATTGGGAGTTAGAAGCGTGCATGATACTCAGAGTATCCTTGACGTGTTCGCAACTTTCTCTCTATTGGTGTCTTGGCTTGCAGAGCCCGTTCGGACGATAGCTTGATGGTAGATGTTGCCTATCTGCTCGTGTGATTGACGGATCGAAATCTCGCGCGTTGACACGATGACGTAATCGCTTAAACTCATGAATAAAGCCGTTTCCTTGCTTCCAGCACGTAATCTGTTCAGTTCACGTGCTTGATTCACTGGTACCTTGGATGTCCGTAGTTCCGGCCGGAAACTGTTAGACGATCTGTCGTACCTGTGGTTGGAGATGGGAATCAAATCTTCCCGCGCCACCTTTCCTGTTAGAGTTTCGTATCCTTTATAGTGTGGCTAGAGGCTGATTCTGCGCACCTATTCTCTGTTGCAGGTGTTAATCAATCTCATCACTTTGACTTGATAGTCTTGGATCAACTTGGTGATATCAATCCGAGATGGTTGATCTTGCTTCGAACTCGAGATGAGACTTTTGCTTTTCAGTGTTGTTTGCTAGTAATACTGCAGCTTATTGGGGAGTAATTTGGTTTTAGATTAAGCTGAAAAGCAAAAGTGATCTTTCTGCTGGTTGCAGGTTTATTCTTCAAGTTGATGGATATAAGCTGCACGCAATACTTTAGACCTAAAACTCCCTCGGTTCCTTGCATATGAATATGC